CGACCAGGCCCCTTCTGTTCCCCCTAAATCTGGGGGTACTACTGTGAGTTAGTACAAATTTCTCCACTCAGAAGGAAGTGGGTTGAGAGGAATATCCAGGTTGGAGATGATCATTTTCCAGAAAGATTGAAACCTGGGTTTTCCTTTTCAAGTGAAGGCTGAAGTAGTATATCTTTGCCTGCCATTTACTAGGAGGACAACCCGTAAAGAGAAGCTGCCGGTTTGCCATTCAGGCTGCCTTTCTGATGGGAGGGAAAGCGAGTTAAGTCAGAGCTCCAGTCTGGCCCAGAAACACTTGTCTTAATGATTTTCTGCGCCGCTTCTGAAATTTTATTGTAAAGCTCTTTATTATTTTATGCTGCATTCTATATTTTACTGTTTTTATTGGGTTTGCAATTTAGCAATTTTATTGTATTTTAATGATGCTCCTCCTTGGGAAAGCAGCTTGAGATGTTTTTAAATTAAAAGATGGAGTAGAAATATGTTTTCCAAGGAATAAAAATAGAGGGGAGGAGGAAGGGAGGGAGAGGAGGAAAAGAAAGAAGGAAAGGATGTTCAGCTTTTAGGAGAAGTTGGGATCTCTGCTTGGTTAAACTACGATGGTGGATGAATTGGCTGGGCTTCGTGCAACATCTTTTTCTAATTCAAGCCTGTGATCTTATCGTAACCTAAAGGAAGGGGATGAAAAATGGTTTCATCTCTTTCCACACAGGAACGATACGGAGGCCACAAGGAAGAATGATTAAACATATAAAAATTCACCACTCACCCGCTTCGAGCAAGGTTTTGCTTGGAGAAGCGATCTCTCTCGCACGCACACAAGCACCCTTTTTCCACCGACACTTGGGCCCGCGGATGACGACATCGTCAGCCTTCACTTGAAAAGGAAAACCCAGGTTTCAATCTTTCTGGAAAATGATCATCTCCAACCTGGATATTCCTCTCAACCCACTTCCTTCTGAGTGGAGAAATTTGTACTAACTCACAGTAGTACCCCCAGATTTAGGGGGAACAGAAGGGGCCTGGTCGGTCTCTTCAAATCTTATTCTTTGGCACCTTTAGGATCTCTGAGCACTGCTTGAGTTATAATCCCATAGCACAGGGAACAGTCAAACCTGAGTTAATTTGCTTAGTCTCTGCCAAGAACTGATGCTACAGAGCCATGATACGTGGGTTGGCCTGTGGACCCCCTTTCCACTGTTCCAATCATCTGCTGCTCGCATGACGGCCACCTTGAGCCCTTCTGGATTTAGGAGTGACCTGTTTCAACCCTAAACTTTAGCACAGGGATAAAATTAAGAAAGCTTGATGGGTTAAACCAGGATGGAAGAAATGTTAAAGGAACGTCTGGATTTGGAAGTCCCTACTTGCAATTTCTCCCATTTCCCCCTGTACAAAGTTGGCTTCTGTTTTTCCATCTTATGCTCAGGATGCTTGAGAATTTCTGTCAGATTTCTTCCTGGGATGGTTTTTGAACAGACTCAGAGGGACGGAGGTCTTCTCTGGCTGACGATTAAGAACGAGGGAAGCTAGAAGGGCTGAAGGCCACGGGAGAGAGGATTGTGCAAAAACAGACCACGCACCCACACACCACACTCGTCCAGCTGGGAGAACTTTGCAGAATTTTTTTTTTCTTTCCTTAAGTGAGAAGTGATAGGGGGGAAAGCACAAGGGCAATTTTAACTACATGAACCTGCAGGCCTGGGGGGCGGCGGCGGGGGGGAGAAGAAGTGATAACCTCTTTGCCTTAAACTTTTTCTCCTCTCATTGGGGCAATTTCCCAGAATGGCTGGCTACTCCTCTGAGCAACATTTCTCTCCTTATTCCCCTTCTCAGTGCTCTTTTGGAGCCATTTTTCCTAGCCTTATATTTCCTGTGCCACCAAGAATGTGATGGATTGCGGGAACAATAGCTCACCCTCTTGCGAAATAAATACAGGAAATATTTTTGGAGCAACGTAGTCAGCCACCCCATTAATTTCAACCGTGAGCAGTAGAAAAACCCAGGCCAGTTTCCATCTGCCGGCAGGGAGGGAACGGTGCATTCATGAAGCTGTAGCAAAGGATTGGCACCTCTCCCAGGTTAATTGGATAATGGGCTTCCACTGCAGAAATGGGCGAAGGGGTATTGCTGGGTAGCTGTGCCAGGCCATTGTTTAGATATTTTTTTTTAATTTATTGCAGTCAAAACAGAAATGAATCGCTTCTTTTCTGCCGCGGGGCAGTGGGATTTTTCTTATGGAATTAGCCAAGGCCTTTCCTTTATAAAATATTGCCTCTATGAGATGCAGAATTCACTTACGGAACTCACGGCCACAAGACTTTCGGGGCGAAAAAGGACTGGGAAATTGCATGGATGGCGGATTTTCAAGGATAGGAATTGTGTTTTTCAGTCCTGTGTAGGAAGGAAATAATCTGTTGGGAATAGTTTCTCCAGCAAGACTGGTTTAACAAGGGGAGAGGGGGAGAGGCAAAAATACAGCTTTAGTATTCTCATTCAATTGGTTGAAGAAGATTTTTCTTTCAAAAGAGAAGAGGATTTAGGTGCAATTCTCCCCAGCCAAGGGTGGGATTGTTGCAACCCTAACCCTAACCCCAGAAAGAGTGTGAATTTTTTTTTTTTGCACACATCTTTTTCATACCAGCTGCAGCCTCCCTGGCTTCCCCATCATTCCCAACAGAAGATATTGGGGAGTTCTGATTTTTCGGACTGGGAAATATGAGCAGCCAGGGAGGCTTCCAGTTGATGGAATTATATGAAGATCTATCCCATAACATGATACCAGCAGTAAAGGAAGGTCCAACCTGCCAGGAGAAATCCAGAAGAAATTCTCAAGCATCCTGACAAAATGTATTAAAATGGAATCTCTTTTTCTTCAGGGAAATAAAACTTTGACAAACTGCAACCCAGATTTTGGCACAGTGTTAATTCCTTTCACTGCTTTCTCAATTTTTTCTGATTCCTTTCTTCTTGTTTTGATCCCACCTTGTTCTCTTCATTCTCCTCACTGCTGAGAGTAACCCATATTTAAGTAAAACCTTCATGCTCAATGGCAGCGTATCTTCCTGTAGCATAATGCAGGGAACAAATTGCAGGAAAATCTCTCTCTCTCTTCACGCACACACACATACACATCCCCTGTTTGTGAGCCTTTAGACCAGTGTTTCTCAACCTTGGCAGCTTTAAGATGTGTGGACTTCAACTTGAATTCCACATATCTTAAAGTTGCCAAGGTTGAGAAACACTGCTTTAGACCATCAAATTTCCTGCTGAAACCAGAGTTCTTGAGTAGGCAGAAATTTGGTCTAATGCAGTGAGGGTGTGTTAAAGATGTTTGCAATTATAGTTTGGATATTCAGCTTAATGAAGTCACGTCAAATTCAGCAACAATTTATTTTGTATGGTAGGCACTTGGGGAAAACACTGATTTCCTTTTCCTCTTTCCTTCCATTTATTCCAAAGATTCTGAATTAACGCAAGCGTTTCCCAATTAGACACCCAACAACTTTTGCAAATAGCCTGGGATTCTTCCCCTACGGGGTTGGGGGTGATCCTTTCTGAAGTCTTCATTATCTGACACAACAGCTCTGTTTTTCATCCCTGCGGGAACACGGCATCCCTAAAGTTTCTGCACAGCCTTCAACCTTTGGTGGACTTGTCTTCCAGCAAATCTCTGACCACAACGCTGTTGTGTGGATGGCCAACTGGAGCCCCAGTCTCCATTTGTCTGTCTGTACCATCACGCTAAAAATTTCCTCCTCTTCCTCCTCCTCCTCTTCCCCCTCCTCCTCTTCCCCCTCCTCCTCTTCCCCCTCCTCCTCTTCCCCCTCCTCCTCTTCCCCCTCCTCCTCTTCCCCCTCCTCCTCTTCCCCCTCCTCCTCTTCCCCCTCCTCCTCTTCCCCCTCCTCCTCTTCCCCCTCCTCCTCTTCCCCCTCCTCCTCTTCCCCCTCCTCCTCTTCCCCCTCCTCCTCTTCCCCCCCCCCCTTATTTCAGTCTCAGGTTCCCCTTCGGGGCAGGTCTCTCTCAGCCTCCCAAAGTTGGTCTTTTCCCATGCTGTTTGACAAGCCATAAGCATAACTCCCAGATAATAAATGTGTTTAAGGAAAGGCTAAGGTGAGAGATAAATTTCCATTAATTCAGAGTGGCCATCTAGCAAGGGAGGCATAAAGTTATCAAAGGAAATGTCTGGGAGGGAAATGAATTCATATGCCAAGGAAGTGTGCCCTTCAGTAACTTTTTTCCTTTTTTCTGAGCCAAATAGATCCCCCGTTCTTTGAAACCTTAAACACAAACACATACAAAGCCTCCTTGGGATACGCAAAAGCTCCCCTCGGCCCCACACCTTTGGCAGACTGGGCTGACATCTTCAAACCAAGTTGCTCTTCCTATCTTCTCGGCTCTCCTCCTTTTCCCCCACTTGTTCAAGATGTGCAGACATGATCCTCATCCAGTGTTATCCCCCAACACCCTTGTAAGGTAGGCTAAGCTGAAAGGAGGGGGATGAGTTCTATGCCCCCCAGTGAACTTCATGGCTGATCAGAGGAACTGACTCAATATCCTAATTTAACACAGAGATGTATCACCAACAGACCACCTGAGGCCACCTCGTTCTGTGCTCCACAGAGCACCCCAAATTGCTCCGTCAAAATTAAGCATCCCCTTTCATGGTCTTTGCCATTCAGACGGGTGGGTCATTGACTGCCCAACGCTGAAGGGCACCTATTTCTCCTCCTTGGCAAAGAAATGCTTAAACAATCCCCTTGTACAGAGACAAGGAACCAACAGGGACTAGGCCTACATTTTTGATGCCTGAGGCGAGAGGCAGAATGGCGCGGCTTCTGTATCTAAAACCCAATTAAGCTCACAGTTGAATCTTTATTTAACTTTGACAATGCTGCTTTCCAAGATGGCAAATAAATTAAGAGGGGCAGAGCAGGCTACGGGGCCCGCGGTTCTGTCTGCCAGCATCTTCCTTCTTGCCATCCCACATCCATGGAGTAGTTTCCAAAACCACAGGGAGAAAGGACAGTCCAATAATTGACTGGGATAAAGTTGTGTTGTGATTGTACGGCTAGTTCATTTTCAACATAAGGCAGATGCAAACCTTCTTCTAGTTAAAAAAAAAAAAAATCGAAACACACCATCCTTTATTTAGTAAGGAAGAAAAAAATGTCCCTGTGTGTTATGGGGTGTTACGGGGGTATAAGGCGTGCGGGCGCTGGATTTCGGACTACAAGAAAGAAGAGTTAAAGAGTTAAATCTGGCAGCAGAAAAGTCTGTGGCCCTACCTTGCAAGTTAATGTAGCATATTCTTATACTCTATATCCTCTTCCAAATGCAATTATTCTAAGTGAATATGACAAGCAAAAAAATAGAGAGATGCGGAACTTCCTAGAAACAGCTCATAAATCTTCCCCAGGGTGGTTATGACTTCTCTTCCCAGTCCTTGGAATGGAAATTCCCCCTGCTTGGGGAGAAATCTTGAGTCTAAAAAAATGGGGTAGTTTCCAGATTAGAACGGCACAGCGTCTTGTGGCATTTTATAGACTTTTTTATAGGCTTACAAACATACTTCATAATCTTTCTGGATTAAGAATACCACATCAGGCATAACTTCTAAACCCAAGGAGAACTGGCCCAATGTATTTTTAGCCACATTTCTTCAAATTTTAGTTTTAATGTACTATCTATGGGATCCCGCCTGAGGAGTGAGCAGATGTGCTTATCTGATGCTTCACATCACCCAGACATGTAGGACTTCAAGGCCCATCATCTCTCAGCTATCTACGGTCATGCTGAATGAGGGATTGTAGGACCGACACCCTTGAAGCTCACCAACCTGTGGATGACCTCAGTTAACTTCAACAAGTTGCACTGCATATTTTGAGTTTATGCTTAACTTCCAATAAATGGAAGACATTATCTGGGAAAAGGTAACATGAAAGCTCCTGAAATGACTTGGTCAAAAGATGGAATCACACTTCTGGATATGGTATTTCCTTGCAGTTATCACCTCTTCCTTGCATACCCCCACAATTTGCCATGGAGTTTTGCCCAAGGAGGACATTCTCAAAACTCTGAATTTTACAGGAGGCAGGGAAAAAAATGAAATAACTTCACTAGGGGTAAGCTAATCTTGCTCAGTTTTGTTTCATTTCATCTTCCACAACCCAAATTCCCATGTGACCAACTTTGGTGGTGTTATTCCAGTGACTCCTCCATTAACGTGTCTGCATTCAAGGGTTCCAGGTAAATTTCAACCTCAGTTTTATAGTCTAATAGGCAGGAAGTGGTGTCTGTGGAAGCCCGAAATCCACTGAATGAGAACTGAGGTACTTAATGCCATTTATGTCATTCGCATGATTTTCTGTCATGGGTATGACTACAAAGTCCCTTGGTGTGACTCCAAAGTTGGAGGAGCAGCTTCCATGGTTGAGGGAACTAGAACCGGGGTCTCCGTACTCCTATTCCAGCATCTTCAGCATCCTACCACCCAGGCTTTCACGTTCTCTCTCATTCCTATTTTCTTTCATATATTTTTCATAGTTTCTCTTATGCCGCTCACCTCTCCGTCTTCCCCTCTCCAACCTGTAGGATCAAAGCTACAGCATCATCTTCAATTTCTCAGCCGACCCAGATTTCTGGCAGCAGATCGACAACTTCACCCAGAATGAAACAGAGGAAGACTACTGGCCACAGAACGTCGCTGAACCGTGCCAGTACACTTTTTGCTCCACGTTTATTGGTGGTATTCCGATTTTCCTGGGAATAGCCAGCACCCTGGGAATCTTAGGCAATGTGATGCTTGGGGTCGCCTTGGCCAAGTGCCCTCGGTTTTGGGATCAACGCCATCCAGGCAAAGTGGAACTCTTTCTGCTCGCAATAGCGGGGGTCACCTTTGCTTCCATTTTGCCCTTTTTCGCCCTGGGAATCAGCCGGAGATGGGCCTTTGAAGACCGACTCTGCCAAGTGGCCCATGGACTGAAGTTCGGGTGCCTCTTTGCTCAGGGGTTGCTGGCAGCTGGCAGTGCCTGCCAAAGTCCCTGGGGTCTCCCCAGGCCACTTTTGCCCACCCTGCTCTGGATCATGGGATTCCTCTGTGCGACCCCAGCGGCTCTGGTGAGCAGCACTAATGGAGTCTGTGTCCCAAATGGTCTCACTGAGCTTCACACCTGGTCCCTGGTCCATGTTGTTTTCTGCTTGGTCATTTTCGTACTTCTCCCACCCACCATGATGTGTCTCAAAGGGTGTGGAAAGAGCTGGCACCCCCATTTTAATATCAGCTGGGTTTTTTATCTCTTCTGGGCCCCCTATGGTGTCGCCGTGTTTCTGGTCATGCTTCAGGAAGAAACATCACTTACCCAAGCTTGCAGTTTTCTGGAACATCTCAACTCCTTTCTGGGGTTCTCTGAAGGATGGGGTATCCTTCACTGCTACCTGTGCCCCTTGTTAATTTTGGGGTTGGGCTTTTATCACCGAAGGACAGTCCAAATGGGGAAGTGCTAATTTGAAAGGTCTCTCCTTTCCACAATCTGGAACTGGACCTCCCTGTTGCATCTCCTTCCCTTCCTGCAATGAAGCTATGGAGGCCCATCCCTGGTGCTGTGACAAGCAAGCTTTAATTATGCAACAAACCAAATTCTGCCTTTGAGTTCTGGCTTCAACAAGGGTGTTTTCTGCATCGCAAATAAAAGCTTTTTTGAAAATGGGCCCGTTTGTATGCTTTGGCTGAGTCGATTCTGGCACTTAGCTGCAGAGAAGACTTCTAGTGCTGGATTTTGAGGCACGATCCCCGTTTGGAATTATATTTGATTGCCTTGCTGGTAGGAGAGAAGTTGGGGTAAGGTGGGTGTGACTACAAAACCTATACAGGCAGGAGCAATGGAAGGTCATTGCAGACTTGATGCTTCCCCTCTGTCCAGATAATGGTCTTAGACAAATACCTGTTGAACCACCTCTAGTATAGGCATGGTTGTTGCATTCCAACAACCGTAGGATTTCTTTTTCCCCTAAAATGATCTCTCTAAGATCAGAGTGAGAACTCCAGCCTTAGTAGGGAACGTCCAACCATGGAAAACCCATCCTGGAAAAATTCAAGATAAGTTCTTTGCCCTCTTGAAGCTCCAGGATCAGGGAAATAGAGAAAGACTCACAACACATGCCCTCAGTATGGAAAGGACTTTATTGTCCTAGAGTTGGCCAGAAGAACGTCATCCCCTGGTAAGGGAAGGAAAACCCCTCTTTTGTTTTGATCCTCTAAACTTCTGACCTTCCAACACAGCAATGATTCATCTAAGGAGAGCGCTTGATTTAAGTGGCTAATTGCTCCCAAACTACCAAGTGATTGTTCTTACTCGCCTTTTGGGAAGCGATGGATTGCAAGGTGCCAAAATAAACAGCGAGGGGCAACCAGAAGCATTTGTTAATCAAGGGGTCACGGGCAACTTCTGTTTCTGAGAAGGCCCAACCTGGAGTTGATTACAGTTTCCCTCTAAGACAATTGGTGGAAAGCGGGAATGACCACACTTGGAAGAAATAGGACAGACCTTCTAATTAGGAGACCTTTGACTGCTGAGTCTCCTGCATTGTCACGTGATGCTACACCAGTATTTCTCAAACTTGGCAACTTTAAGACAGGTGGGAGTTGAAGTCCACCTGTCTTAAAGTTGCCAAGTTTGAGAAACACGGTGCTACACCACCCTCTACATCATCCTGGCTTGTTAAATGGAACCTAATTGCGCCTGGTGGGAGGAGCATGAATTGGCCCTCAGTGGATGAACGGGGTCTTCTGCCTCATTTCTCCTCCAGAAGTAGCTTCTCCATTTTGGCTTCGGGGAGAGATTCTGAGTTACCTCTCCACCAACAATGAGCAAGCCATGATGGATGGCTGTCCATGCTTCCCTGCCCACTAATTTGCACCCTCCCAGAGCCCCCTCGCAATTCCATTGCCAAACCAAGGAGCATGTTCAGCTCTAACCTGGCTTAGCAAGACGCCGTGCTTGATCATTTGAACGCTGAGACAGAGTCTCTTTGCTTCAGCCCTGAGTTGTATTCTTGAGGGTACTTCAGATATGGCATTGTAGCGATTCCCCCCCACCCCACCTACAGGACTTTGTAGCCACACACCCCAAAAGATGGGACTGGGTCAGGATGGCTCTCTGTCCCTCTTCTGCCCAGGTGGGTATAAGAAGAAGCTGAACCCTCGCCCACGGGGCTGTCTGTCTGCGTCTTTTCCAATGCAGGTTGTCGACTCTCTTGCAAAGGAACCAGAGCCCCTTCTGGCTTCATTCCCAGAATGCCTCTTTCGAAGCCAATATCCATCATCAGGTTGCACCACCAGCTCTGGAAACCCAAGCTGCAGCAAAGCAGTGCAACTCTGCAGAGGTTTGAGCTAAAATGAAGACCTTCCCTTACTTCCTTCCCCACTCCCACCATCCACAGGGCCATTAGATTTGAGCTCTGCAGGAAAGCAACCCCAGGATTGTTCCTCCTTACTAGCGGAGAGGCAAAATATTTGCTTCATTAAAACTGCGGGTAGGTAAGGCCCACCAGAGAGAGCTGCTTCGTGTTTTTTTCCCCTGTTCCAAAACGCATCTTCCACGCCTAAGAGATTGAGGTAGTTGGATTCAAACTGTAGCCGAGAGACGAGAGAATTGGGGACATAATTCAGTACTGGCACACCTGTCTTGGAACACCAACAGTCCCTGGTTTAATTTTCAGCATCTCCAATTTTAAAGAAAAGACTCTTCTTTACATGAGATTTTGGAGAAGTGCCCAACAGTCAATGTCGGGCAACTTCCCAAGAGAAGCGGTTTTGCTCCAAATTAATTTTGGCATCAAATGGGCCCATCGCTCAAGGTTAGTGGGGCGGAATTGCAGGCATAAATTTACAGATTCAGTCCTCCGGGAGGCTGGGAAAAATCCCGTTTTCACACTCAAGAGCCGGGGTTAACAACTTGGCTTTGTGTTTGACGGAGGCCCTCTAAAGCAGTGTCCCGCTTTCCTCCAAGTGAAATAAAATAAAAATAACCGAATCTGTGGGATGATTGCCTCAGGCTTGCAAGGTGGGACAAGCAATATTGTAGAAGCTTGCAAGATTTTGGCCATTTCTTTAAAAGAAAAAGAAGAAGAAGAAGAGGTCCATCACAACGAATGGTAAATCAGGGCCTGAAAATGAGAGAGGGATTGTGAGGAAGTTATAATCCACAGCCAGGTGACGTAGGGGAAGATATTTTTGAACAATAGACCCAGAAGTTAATTTTAAGAGCGTCTACCTCTATAGTGTTCAAAAGATGTTATGGAAAAGGAATATGTTTTACATGGCAAGATTGAGACCAATCCGAAAGTGGATTTAAAAAATGACAGGTTACAAGAACGATACGGAAAAAGATGCTACGCTGGATGTACAAATGGAACCAGCTGATGTCTTAACCATTACAAGGGATACACAAAAGGCCGGCTTGGATGACTCTCTTATATTGGCTTTACAAAAGAGACTCGTTAAAGCTCTGAAGGATTTTGTGAAAAGGAACAAAGAAAAAAATGAAAAAAAAATCTCTAGGACATTATTTGACGGGATTAAGGATCAAGATTGTTAAAAATACAAGGAAGGAATATAAAGTGGGTTTATTTGATCAAGGTTAACATAGATATGTTGTTATTTCTGGTAACCCTTAATGGACTTTTGCTGATCAGGACTGAATGATGAGGCTTTAAAATTTGTTTATAGATAAGAGATGAGACATAGGATGAAGAGATCGTTTGTTGTATTTTAAGAGAAGGCAAAAAGTTGTTAAAATTGTTTATACTTGTGATGAAGGGGAAAGTCATTTCTTTATATATTTCTTTTCTTTTTCTTTGCTATATTTTTCCTTTTTCTTTTTGTATTATTCCTTTTTTTCTCTGAACTTTCTATTTTTTCTTTTCTCTTTTTTGGAGTTTGCATGAGTTTATTACTGTAATCATTAATAAAATTATTATTAAAAAAAAAGACAATCCAGAGCCAAGCATATCCATGATCCAATTCCACATTAAGCAGTTGCATATGTTCTTCTAAAGCAGAGGTGGGTGGGCAACCTTCAGCCACAAAGCTGGACCCAGCCCATTTGGTAGTCTCCTCCCAACTAAAAAAAACTTGGTTGGCATGTTCACCTGCCTTTTCAAGGCAAGAAATGCAGAAAAATATTGGAAGTGCTGTGGATTATCAGTGGGGACAGATCTCCAGCAGTCTGGCGCAACTTGGCCCCTAACTAACTAGCTAACTGGCATTGCTAACATGAGATCAAACTATATTACTCTCCTTACCCTGAATAACAAGGAACTTAAAATTCTACCCTTCACTAAACCTCACTGCCCTCCCGCACCTTTTCCCCCCAAAGGTTAACCACTTTCAAGCCAGCAAAAGGTGATCTGTGCGTTCCTAGGATCCAGGGTTGCCTTGCTCTTCCTGGCCAAAATATGACTTTATATTTTGTGATAGAGCCTCCCTCCTGTGGGTTCCCC